TTGTCTAAAATATGCCTCAAAACAAATTGTGTAAAGTCATGATTGTAGTTTAATTCATACTAGTAACAGAGATGCCAATTGTTCCGAATTTGACAAAATATTTTTAAAAAATTTACTTTAAAACTTTATTCTTCCCTTATTCTTCATATGAATTTATAAGACTCTTGATATGAAATGAAAATTGATAAACTCTACTTATCAAATTGTAAACAATCGAAAAGCACTAATTTCTTCCACAGAATGTAAAAATTAATTAGTTTTATTTAATATTTGATTCATTATATATCTAATCAGTTAATACTTTTTTAAACAAATTACGTACCATCGTAATCACTATTTACAATAATGTCATGGTCATATGTTAAAAAATAATATTGTGTGGAAGTTCGATATAGTGAACTACTGCTTATAGTTCAGTTATTGTTGGGTTTCCCAGACAGTTCACAATAACGGGGTTCGTCAGTATTTGCTTACACTAAGTGGATATTTCTTTCCGTTTCCTATCATTTTAGCTTTGAAAAAAATTGCGTAACCTTATTTCCTAATATAAATATTTATATAGGCATTATGGTAGACAGAAATATCATGTTTAAGCAAAATATATTTCAAATAATGAAACATGCAATCGTAGTGGGTAAGGGGATAGAGCATTCACCTCCCAAAATGAGGTGACCCGAGTTTCGAATCCCAGCTATGACTGGTCGATACGAATTCCGCAACCAGCTCGCTTCGACCCCAGTGCTGACGTAACATATTATCAGTGGTAGATGGGTCGTGGGTTAGAATTCCCTTGCCGGCGGCTTAACCGTGAACGGTGTCCATGCAACGCAAATGCGGATTAGTTCCATCAAAAAGTGTTCCACGAAGACTAGTTTGTTCCTATATTAAATTCAGAAATTCCCTTGTCTTCTGGATTGGGTTTAAAATTACTAGTCAGCGGAGTTGATAGTTGTAAACTCAGAAATGAATCAGCTGTTCTATACTGGTTTCAAAATAAGAAAATATAATGAAACATTTGCGCTATCGTTTTAAAAAAACTCTTTTTGGAAAAGAAACTGTTTTTCTAAAAGAGACAAATGGGTTCAAACGCAAATGGGAGGAAAACGTATGATACGCAAATTAATTAGTGTAGAGACCATATAATTTAAGTTACAAAATCCGACACAATTACGCAAACGGACAAAAAATTATCCGTGCGGCACGCAAAACGTTGTGTCGTTCCTTACTTAATTTTTTTTCAATTATTTTTTATAATTGACTTTTCATGATAATTGTTTTTTATTATTACTTTATGTGTCAATTATTTTTTATCATTTACTTATCCCTCACAAGCTTGTACATATACATTCATTTTGTTCAATATAGTTAGAAAATTTATTACTTACACAGAGATGCCAATTTGCTCCGGACAGCAAATATATATTTTAGAGTGGTAGTTTATCAATTGTGATTCTTGGTTTAATATATTCAATTTAGTAGACTTTTATCTACCACTATTTTTAAATATGGACCGGAAGAAATGGACAGGACAGGACCAACATGGACAGGAAAAAATCCAGTAGATTTCATGAAATAGTATAAATTTCATGATAATTGTTGCATAATGTACTAAATATTTTACACATAGGGAATTTTAGGGATTTTTAGCGTCATCAAAATAGAAAAACTGCAATATTTTCCTGTTATGATTGACGTTAAGCATACTTAAAATGTATTACGTTTATTCATAATTTCGAATATTAATAGGCATTTAATTCATCAACGACAGTTTAAATTTTTTTTTTTAATTAATTTAAAAAGAGAGTTCTGAATAAAAATAAACTGAACATTTTAGAACAAAAAAAAGTTTTAAATCGATTTCGACAAATGAATCTCGCTTTATTATATATTAGCAATACTTATTTGAATATTCAAGCAAGCAGGCAATAATGTACAAAAATTCGATTTCAATAGGGATTTTTTTAAGGAAATTTACTCAATTTTGGAGAATTTTCTACTATGTACAAGAAACAGCAGAATTTTAATTAAACCAGTAGACCAAGAGAAACTGGCAAAATCCAGTAGAGTTGGCAGCTATGCATACATTTATTACATACTTCATTCATTTATCCATACTAGACTCAAACTTAAACATACCAGAATTTAAATACAACCTCACAACTTTTCTAATGTAAAAAAGTGGCTCAGATTTTTATGAAAGAGATTACGCTTCCGAGTTATACGATAACGCTAAAGTTTGTTAAATACGAAAAAAAAAAAAATCAAGCAAACGATATTCAAAAATTTAACTAAAAATCAAGATGGCGCGGATAGACGTCTCTTAGTTTGTGATGAAAGTTTTATAAAAAAAATTATATTTAATTTAAATATTTCTACTTTAATTCACTATCACTGGAAAAAAATTTCGCTAAAACTTCAAACGTCAGTGTGTATATTTAAGTTGCAAATTACAGTTTAATGAAAAATAAAAATTCGATGAATAGGGCCTGAAATCACATATGGCTGAGCAGCCTTGGAATTGTCGAAGTATTTTAACAATGCCTCCCATCATTACAGGCGAGTAGGTAGACACGACAGGCACCTGTGGCTTTTACGAACACTGGGAAATGCCTAGAATTGAGGGCGAGATAAATGACCTTGAACTTCAGGTTCGCAGAGCGCTAAAGTTCTTACCTGAGCGACCTACCTAGTAAACGGAATCATCTCATTTTTCCCCATCGCAGAGGAAATGGAAAAATCCCCCTCCTTTTTTTCAGGCTTGTTTAATTCATGTTTGATTTCCGCCGATGTTCAGTAATTTATTCGATTTTTGTTCGCCTCTCTCACCACGGGCGGTGAGCAATACCCATTTTTTTACGCGACGATTTGTTCTAATAATGTCCTGTTCCATAAATCCGAATGTTTGAAAAGGAATTTAAAAATATCTTTAATACTGCGGAATGCCATTTTGTGGATGCGGTTTTATTTTGAAATATGTTCGACGGTATTTTTTCCTTAAAAGGTTACTTAGCGATTTTTTTTTTAATTCTTTCTTTAAATTCCTATGTGTAAAATGCAACCTTCATAAGAAGTAGGTCGCAAATTGGAAACTTATGTTTGGTATTCCTTTCAACCGCCGTTAAAATTAATCATTCGTCAAATGTACAACTCATACTTAAGTTGAAAAAATTTAGAATTTTTGATATTATTTACGGAAAATTTTGATGAATCTTTAATATTGCGAAAAAAAAATTTTTATCCGCAATAAAACATAATATAATAAATAAGATTAAGAATAATATTATTTATAAGAATTCATACTATTATTATTATTATTTGTAATATTGTTTGTATAATTATATTATTATTTGTTCCTACTATAATAAGATTAATAATAAGAACATATGACAGTTTCTAATTTTAATTTATAGAAGTTACAATAAAAAATTTATGTATATATATATGCAAGTTGGCATCTCTGATTGGAGCAGGGTTCGTATCGTCTTTCAGAAATTTCTACAAAAATACTAACAAAATTAAGAAAATAAAATGTNTATATATATATATATTCATTTGCAGCATTAAAAGCATACTTTACTCCAAGAACAAATTAATTACCAAACCATTTACAACTCCGTTTTTTCGAATATGTCTCGGACATGAAAGTAGGTTTAAGATTCTTAATGGTAAAACGACAACAAAAGATCATTCTTCAATTTGTGTTTAAGTCTTTTATTAGGAATTACGTTCGCAATTGTCTTTATTTACTTTATCTATGAAGTTGGGGTTCCGCTGAAGGAGGGCTTTTCAATTAGGGTTCCATTGCCGAAAATAAATTAATAACCGCTGCCTTAGGCACAGCAAAGGGTTGGGAATAATTATTAGAAAAATAATGAATAACAATGAGTGTATATCGTTGAATGAGAGGAGAGAAGTGAAATTGATCGAAACTGGTAACTTATTGCTTTACAGGAAGTAGGATAAAATTTGGAAAAAATGTGACTTGTTGCATCAAAACAACCGCACCTTTCTCACGTGCTTCATTGCATTCTACAATCCATGTAGGTCATCGCTAACAAAACAAATTATTCTTCTTTGTTCTTTTGATTGAACAAGCAAAATTTCTTTTAGGATCAGAAATTAAAAATAAAACAGTGATTGCGTAATATATCATTACGAGGTATTATAATACAAGGGGCGGGTAGCATGTTGAAAAGTACACGGGCGTAACTTCAATTCGCTTCTTAATTTACGGAATTTTTAAAAAGGAAAGTTTCGAGGGAAAAAACCGTAGAGTAGTATTCGTCTATAACAGAATCTCTAAATTTGTATACGTAAAAGCTGCCACAGTTACAAAAAGGCCAATTTGCTCGTTTTCAGAAGAATTAGCAAGACTTATAGCAAAGTTTAATAGTAGAAAAGTTAAAGTTTTAATACTTGATCATTGGCTTAATAAATTGGACTTAAATTGCTTTTGTATACCAAATCATGAAGAAGAAAAAAATCAAACATATCTAAACAAAAAATTGTTATTTTGTTGTAGCATTGTTGTGATGAAGATTTTAGAGAATTTTCAGAATAACCCAAAATTCTGTAAGTAATTTTGTAAGTAAATTATTTTTGATATAATAAGTTTCGTAGAATTTAAAATGAAGGGCTTTATTACATGACAATGATAAGCTGGTTTCCAATGTAGTGATACCATAAAAAAATAAAGAGTGACTTCTTTCTTGTATTCAATTTCAGACAAAGTAAGAGTACGAAATATGCACAGTGAAAAATACCAAACTCATTCTTATATCAACTTACATTATTCCTTATATTAACTTAACCGTTTGATATTTTCTTGATATGAATTTGATAATGGAAGTGATAGCTAAAACAATAAACTATCATTCAACTTGTTTCCCCGTAATTTCTTTTCTTTGTCTAGTCATCAGTGTCCCACAGTAAAGCCTCCAGCTAAATCAATACAATATTTTAAATCATACAATATTTCAAGACATTATCAATGCACTTACCAGATGAGCCAATGACAGTGTTGGCTTTTAGCTTAGGGGGAGTAGGAGGAGGTTGATCGTTTGGTATGACTTCATTGGCAGAGGATGTAGGAGAGGCAGATCGATCTGAATCTTCTAATAGTGATGATTCAGACGGATATACGAAGGTATTATTATCTGTATCATCGTCAAAGGTGATTTTCAGCTGCAAGAGATAAAAGAAAAAAATTATTTAAAAAAATTTTAATGGTAGAATAATTATTAATGTTTCTAAAAGTATGCATATTAAGCAACTGTTATTTGGTTTGGGCCGATATTACAAATATGCACATTTTTATATTGTGCCTAAACTTGTTTTCAGTTTTTAAAAAAATATAATAATAAGATTTATTTACTGCGTATAAGCTACAAGTACATAGAATTCAAAAAATAAATTAAAGACATCTAATCGAGATAACATGGAAAAGGTTGTAAAGATTTTTTAATGGAGAATAATATCAAACAAACTAACAAATCAAACTCGCTTCTGTACTTCACTAAGAACTCGCTTTATATATTACATTTTGAGTTTATCTGTATTTTCTTGAATTTCAATTTTTTTTCTTGATTGTTTTATTTTGCATTTTTTGTTTTATTTAGCATTTTTTGCTTAATAAGTTCTACTTTTGTTTAAATTTTTTTGGTGCTCCTCACACTATTGTATTGATATATTTTGCTTTGGCTGTATTAATACAATATTAGAGAGCACTATTTCTTCGGTTATAATCGTGTGAGCTGATGACGAGATTATATCTTTTCCTCATTCTATTTTTCCTTTTTTTAAAATTTAGTAAATATTTTTTAAAACATTTTTCTGAGAGAAATTATCACAAAATTGCGCGAATTGAAAATAGTATTTTTATTTTGCACAATTTTAATAATTAAAAGAAATATTTATTGTTGTACGCATTATGCATTCTAAACATTTGTAATAAAAACAAATTACTGTCTACAGTTACAGTATTTATATTAATTACCTATCAGGTCTTATAAATACTTATCCCCAGTAGTACAATTCTTTTTACCATCACGGCCTTCTTTAAAATTCAGTAAATTGCAACATTGTTCTCTACTACACAGCCAATTTTTTTAAAAATTTAAATAATGAATTAATAATAAAGGAATAATAAAGGATTAATAATAAAAGAAATCAAGCAAATTTTCGGCAGTTTTCCAAATTTGCGTCAACGCCAGCCAATACATACCATCCCGCTTCTTGTCAATAATCATTATCGACCAATATCGCGATCTGGCCACTTTGAAATTAAATCCTCGTTATAATAATAATAATAAAAATAAAACGAGGATAACATTGAGGAAGGGACTCTTGTCCTTTACAAAACCTTTAAGCTGACCCTCTATGCCTGCTGCGCATGTTTTTAACAGGTGAAAATTCCAATAACTTAAAAGTAACTTTATGGAATCAATACTAAGGAATAGCTTGTTTAAAAAAAATATCACCTTTGGTTAAAGTGTGGTCAAGTGCATTTACTCAAATGTTTTATTTGCCGATTACAAATTAATATACAAACAAATATATATACAATATATAACAAATTTATATACAAACAAATAAACACGACTGTGTCCTTTTTGTTAGTGAGACTACTTTCGTGCCGTTTTAGAAAGTAATGCAAGTTTACGTTATCAAATGAACACTTGATAAGTTCCTGGGAATGCCTACACCAGTGATTCTCAACCACTGTGCCGCGTCACTTTTGTGTGCCGCCAAATTCTTAAAATGTGCCGCCAAATATTAGAAATGATACAATAAAAATTGTAATGCTTTTTTAATCACGAGTAAAGTTTAAAGTAAAGAAAAGTGTATACATATATGTATTATAGTTTTTCCACTCTTTAACCACGGGAACATCTTTGTCAGCGATTGTCTTGTCTCTGACAATCTTAAAATAAGAAGGAAGTGTTTAAATTGTCGTTGACAATTTTAAAAAATGTTGAAATAAGTAGGAAATTTAATGATCATTAAAATTATTAATTATCAAAGGAAAGCAAGCTAAATATTAACTTTCAAACTAAAATAAAAGCTAATCATTAAAGTAAGCTATGCAATTAAAAGTTATAAAAAATACTAACAAATAATAAGCTAACAATTAATAATCAGCAAAAGCACTAGTTGACAAGAATTAATAATCAGCAAAATAACTAGCTATAGAAAACAAGCAAACAATTAATAACTAGCAAAAAACATAAGTAACTGTTACTAACTAATAAAAAATTAGACGAAAGAAATAATTAATTCCTTAATAAATGTGCTTTTGTAGTACATATTATTTTATTTCACATTCAAAATTATTATCACAAACTATTTAACACAGTGTATTATAGTAAAGTAAATAACTTTTAAACTAATTTCTTTCATTGTGTGCCGTCAAACTTCGAAATCGTTAAAAGTGTGCCGTCACAAAAAAAAGGTTGAGAATCACTGGCCTACACATTGATAAGGGTTAAAGAAAAATGTAATTGAAGGTCATTTATTTCAAATTTGTATCCAAAAGGCAATCCTACGAGCTTATAGTGTATTTTTAGATGAGTCCAGGTGGTCAATTAAAAGGAAAGCAGCAAATGAATTCGCATAAGTATATAATAAAAAAATAAGTCATGTGTAATTTATAGTGTAATATTTGTGTCGAATCAATAGTGCATTATAAATAAAAGTAATTTATGTTAAAATTATGTTAGAGAGGGAAAATAAATTCCATTTACATTACATTTATACTATAGAATTTAAAAAAAAGTAATTTTCATCAAATTTACAATACCGAATAAAAAATTTATGTTAAATTTATAAGAAAAAAGGAAATTCTTATGAGCATATTTTGTATAAAATAGCACATAGTTCCGAATTAAAAAAATAATTTATCTCAAATTTATTTGTTATAATTCTCCAACGCTGGCAGTAGTGGGTATAGTGGTAAATTGGTATAGTGGAGAATTCATAGTGGTATAGTGCCTGCATAGTATAGTGGTGAATTCATATGCTCAGGGGAAAAATTATTATGAGTTAATGATGCATTTTATATAAAATGATAAAAATTACAGAATAAATAAAAGTAACTTATGTCAGTTTTAAAGGTCAGAAAAAATAAAATTGATATATGTCAAACTTACTGTACAAATAAATTAAAGTAATTTATGTCAAATTTATGTATACAAAACAATACCTTTGCAGTTTTGAACAATTTTTAGAACAGTGCCTACATATAAATCTTGGGCAAAGGAGGATAAAATGACAATGAATTAATACGTGAAAAAATATTCCTGATGCAGTTTTGGAACTGTTTCTAAAATGAGTACTGGTGGATAATATAACATATGAATTTATGTAGTATAGGATTATGTTATACACGGAAATGTGGAGAACCACAGCCAACAAATTCATAAGATTCAATAACCGTGATGTATCTATTATTTATTAATTTCTCACGTTCTCTTATAAGGTAAAAAATGTTGAGTTCAATTGGTTTGTTTCCGCTTGTTGAAAACCTTTCATCGTCACGACACGCATGATACAAGTGAGTCAAGAACTACACTGCGTTATTTGCCGGAGAGAGCTAGCAGCAAGGTCGTACTGCAAACGATAAATACGTCCTTGTCCGCAAAAGATCCGGAACAAAAATAAAAGAAATATCGCTTGATACTTTTCTCGTTTTCTTTTGAGAACGAAAACTGAATATAAAAGAGATTAATTATCATTGAATTATATTACAACTGGAGAACGGAAATTCTCGACCTCGGTTTGCTTAATATTGTATGATAAAGAATGAAAAGTACTCACGTCGTTTGAAGTTTTTATTGTTTACTCAACTCAAGGAAATGTAGATCATAAGACTATTCGGAAAGTGTTTTGTTGTGAATTGCAATCAAGTTATGTAAAATGCTTCAATACCAGTTACATGGGGAATTTATTTTCTAAATTGCTTATCAAAATTTTTTGGAGATTTGTCAATAACTCATATACACCTCTAGTTGAATCCTTTTAATTTCTTTTTAATTAATGGCAGAAAACCTGCATTTTTCATTTTCTTTGCTAGGATTTAATAATAGTAGTAAAATAAAATAACAAAGTTGAACTGTTACGGTTGAATTATAACAGTTGAAATGAAATAAAGAAAAATTATGAGCTTAATAAGCTAGGAAATAGTATTAATAAATAATTCTCCATAAGTTACAAGCAAGGAATAAAAAAAAATTTGGCAAAGCAATGTCTTCATTTTATTTTTACTGTGCATTATTTACATTGAAATGTTATTAAAGTCTAATATTATAAGCAATAACAACATTATGCCTTTCACAAAATAAACAAACAAAAAAAAAAGATAGTTTTATTGGGGGTTTTAGAATTACGCAAAAAAGAATGAAAGAAAACTAATTCCTCAGCATTGTGAAATACAAAGACCAAATATTATTTTAACTTTTTAATGTATTTGGTCTGTTCATGTTTGATTTACAGAGTCTAAGTAAACTAAGAAAAAAAAATTTAAAATAACATTTCCTCTTTCAAGATTTAAAGAGCTAACTGATAATATTTACTTTTCAAAATAAAAATAAAATGTTTGATTTAAATCAACAGTATATTTTATTTTTAAATACTTATATCAAATTAGATTTACTGATTAATACTTCATAATTAGATATTACTGAATTAGATATTACTGTTTTAATACTTCATATAAGGAAAAAAAATTTCATTAAAACTGATTTAATAAAAAAATTGGGGAGAATAGTTTTGAATAACTGTTTCTACTGTTGTAAAATACGAGCTAAAGTTTTAGTGTAAAAAGTAATTTTACTATTCCTAGTTCGATTAATAAATTTGAATTAATATATTTCTGATTAATTAATTAGTATAATTCTGATAATAAAGTTTGGTAAATATGTAAAGAAATACAGGAAGTATCACTTTGTTTTTTCCTTTTTCGTTTTTTTTTTCTTGTTTGTTTTAAATTTAAGTGTTGGTTAAACAAAAAAAATTCATGCTTTCAGTGATTAGTGTTTATGTCTATAGATATCATTAGATATCCTTTTGACGTCCATAGGGTTGATGGGTTTGACTCTTAATATAGACATCGATTTACATTTTTTTTGTAATTTTTATGCTTACTAATCCACACAACATATTGTTTTTAGAGCAAAACACTACTAAAA